ACGTACAAAATGCCACGGATAACCTCATTTCGTTATTATATTATAAAAACAGTATAATTAAAGAAAAAAAAAGATACCAATAGTGTTCAAAAATAAAACACAATAACACATCGCCCTGAGYAATTCAATTTTACAGCTAAGTGGGCCAATATAGTGATCGCGGCGGTGAGGATTTTTTTTGGGTTTTGTGCGTCTGTTTTCGTGAAACGATTACCCCACATCAATTCTAAATTTTACAATATTATTAAATGGACTATTTTTCGTACAGATTGTTTACAAGATAACAACGAACGGAATGGTTTTGGAGCAGACGAGGATGAGAAAGATTTTTGCATCGACCGTTTGTGCAGGGAAAATAACGCAAAAACTGTTATGCCAAAGGGGAATAATTTTTCTCATTTGTGGCAGTGACCCGCTCTACTTTAATACCGTAATAAAATATATGAGTTCTAATATCAATTATATATATTAATAAATTGTTCGCAATTTCCGCTGTATACACAATATTATATACATAATAATATACGAGAAAGCGATTACTAGTGGTTGTTGCTGTTATTGACGTATCTGATGGCATTCGTTTTTTGTCTTAGAAATTGATTCCAATGATCATGGGACACTTTCCGTCCGGMACGTCGTCCATGGTTCCCGAGCATTTCGCGCAGATTAAATTGAAAGGTATGTGCCATATTTAGTTTACGATACTAAAAAAATACATATAAAATATGTCGACACATCATATGAATGTCTACTCGCGACAAATAAAACACAAATTATCTCATCAGTTCGTTCGTTTTTAAAATATACCCAATATATTATATACCTACCAACTCTTATAATAACTTGGTTTCGTTGCAGGMGTTTTCGGTCGGTTCAATTACGGTCCGGTCACTAACTTGGAACGGTACAACTCTACCGAACCTCCCGCGTACGATCTGACTTCGATCCAAGTGCCCATCACGTTGATGTACGGTAAAAACGACTTGGTGTCAGACGTCCAGGTGGGTTTTTTGGGTATATACCTACAATAATACAATTATGTCGCCTATTTCACGAGTAACGCAATTTTCGCCTAGGACGTGATGAAACTTAAATCCCAATTGCCCAGACTGATGGATGCCGTGATGATCGACAACCCGTACTTCAACCACGTGGACTTTATGTGGAGCACGGAAGTCAACCAACGCATAAACGACCCGGTCAAGGAAACGCTGCGGAAGACCGACAACATGRACTGGAAGTACTCGGGGCCAAATCTCCCGAATTCTAAGGACATTTCCAATGTTAGTAGCAGTGTCAGTGGCGCCAGTGGAGACATCAATATTAGTGGCGGGGCAGGCAATATCGGTAGCAATGGTATTTTCGACATCGGCGGCGGTGGACATCTCAATATCACTGACGGTGGGATTGTCAATATCACTGACGGTGGGATTGTCAATATCACTGACGGTGGGATTGTCAATATCAGTGACGGTGGAATTGCCAATATTAGTGACAGTGGAACTGTCAATATCGGTGGAAGTGCTGGACATTTCAACATAAGTATTAATGTAGGCGACGTCGGTGGCAGTGGAAATGTTAGCGGAAGTGGAGGTTCCAGCAGCACTGGCAGTGTTGCGCCAACGGATTTGGATTACTTAGCGAAAAACTTGGGCAAGATAATCGCCGATGCCATGCCCAGGCCGGTGGACCGCGAGGGTGACGCATCCGACTTCGGACGGGAACGGGTGCTGCAAGAGACATTGTTGGCGGACGCCATCGAGTTCGTTAGGTCGGTCCAAAAAAAGTACGGATCGACGCTCGTCTGGCAAGAGTCTTCGACGATTGCCACGGACGACCATCGGAAAATCGAACACGTCCTCACAAGCCCGAATGACGCTGACTGATGAAGGTCGGTTGAACGCGTAAGGTTTGAGATTTCGTCTCTACAGTAGCGCCCGTCGAAAAAAATACTGTACAAAATGAAACATATTATTATATTATAATACCTAATATGCTATAAATAAGTCTACAAAAACAATAACAAAAACCACACGAGTGGGTATAGGTTGTATATATATTTAATATTTATCATAATATTATGAATACGATACCTGAGAACACCCATATTTGCATTTTTAACTACGAATTGTGTTATACCTTTTGCTGCAGCTGGTAAGTTCATAAAAAGTTTAAGAATCTATTATTTTTRAAAACATTTTCAAATGATACATTAAAGGGCGATTTTACTTGGGAGTGGTGAAGCGATCAGCTGTGGCCCACCAGGTGTGGGTAGTTGCATTTTATATTAAGTTATTTATCATGTTTTTTGTATTTTTCTACACGCGCGTTTCGCGTCTTTACGGTGTTTTCGCAAATATCATTAATTCTCACGTGAACYGTCAAATGTCAATCAATATTATATTATAGACAGTATACTCTAATTTATAAGATACGTTAAGTAATATTATACAATTTTGTTTTAAGTTTACACTGTATATAGCAGACGTGTCGTAATGAGCTCTCATTTAATGTGATGTATACTCAAATCAAAATAAAACTATGACAATCCACTGCAGTTAATATAATATTATGATGCAGTTTCTGCGCAGATAAATTATCACAATTTAGTAGTGYCAAGCGACCTTGATTACTTTTACATTTTAAGAAACTAATAATAATATTTAAGTGCATTGAGAGTRGATAGTTTGGTAGATCGCGTGGATTGTGCCTAAAAAAAGTATATAATTCTGTAAAATATTATATTTTTATTCATATATTTGTTGTACTTGTGTAAGTTGTACGGATATTATATTTTCAATTAAAAAAAATGTGCTCACGAACAGCGTTATTGATTCAATTGACCTCGACATGATGCGACAAATAATGCAATAATATTTGCTAATTATATTGATAATTAATTAATTTAATAATCGTGTTTAACGACCGTCGCATTTTTTCTCGTCGACCATAATCGATGGCTATATTAATATTTCGCTTGAATACTATAGAAAGGCGTATGAAATGTTTTTATTTCCACATATTGAATGTATGCATTATACTTTTTTATTATGATGGCAATACGCTTTAGACTTTTCGCATATTAAATATTTTTATTTTACACGACATTTAAGTAACGACATATTGAATTATTTTAAGCAAATGATACATTATTGTTGTAGGTTTTTTCTATGGATAATATTATGATTAGTTTTTTTCTTTTTTAATAATGCTGTAAATTTAAGTTGATTGTTTATTAAAATATGATTTACTCCACAATCCCAATCATTTTGTACAAAAGAGTGTTTATTTTAATTTATTCATGTTTAACATGATTTTAATTTGTTTTTGGATGACTGAAATTTTTCTAACTATTTCTACTTCTTGTTTATAGACCAAGTTGTAAATAACAGTAATTGAATAATAAATAGAATCATATGAACAACTCCCAAGTAAGGTTATAATGAAATTCATCATTATGTCTAGACTTGGAATATAACTATTAACACAAAAAACTACGTTTTTGGAAATATTATTTTATGTTTATTACACGATCACAATGGTAACCAAATAGTTCATTCGACTTTATTAATAAATTATTACATTATATAATATATAGTTTCAATAAGTTTAAATTGTAAGTATTCAAACATGTATCAGTGTTTGTCCATGTAATTTTATTAATTCACATGTATAATTTTAATTATGTTACAAGAGTTACAACCAAAATTTTAAACATATTAAACATAGATTGTAATAAAAAAAATTCAATTTGGGCATCACATTATGAAATACGAGTGGCACAATGATTCATTTTATTATCTTATCATACCTCATCATGATTGACAAATATTATTATCACATTAAATGTAATATATATATATATATATATATATTTATATAAACATATATTATAGCAGATTTAAGGTTTACGTTAAAAAAATTTAGATACATGGAATGGTCAGCAAAAAATTTGATAATTTGTTCACAATAATATTGATATAACAAAACCGTTAGCACAATGTCACATGGCATTCTGCATTAGGATTTTTGTAAAATATGTATAAATAATCGGTGATCAGTATAATAGTAATAGTATATAATGTATGCAAAAATAAATTATAATATATTCTTTTTTTTACGACAATAGTTGGTTATGTATCGGACAAAAGGAGTACGATCGCATGRTATTTTCGTTTATATAACACAATAATAAAATGTAAGGCGCCGCACGACATTTTAGGTGGTCGAGGGTGGAGAACAAACGAACAATTTAATCCGCTGCTTATGCGTAGACGAAATGGAAAAAATAATATTTTGATTAAAAAATATGAACTTTTTAGATCGATACGAATTTATTAGATCCGTTTCAGATTAATATATGGTATTGTTAAATATATATATATATATATATATTGTGTATATATTATAATAGAATAATTACGAAAAAAAAAAATACAAAAGTATAATGTCAGAAAACGATCGCAAACGGACCATAATATACATATTATATAATATGATGTATAAATAACTGGGCGTGCTCATCCCGATTCTGATTATCTACGCGTGTTATAACGTTATAGGCACGCACACACGTAATTTATTGTGTGTGCATACTTCTTTTTACACAAGACGTGTATATTTATATATATATATATATATAAATATATTGAATTTCTATATAAGTATTGATAAATGCTTTGTCCGACCTATGCACGATTTTCGTTGCTGTCGTCCATCAGTCCGAATCTTCGAGGGGCTTCAAGTCGCTGAGATCCGGCGGCGAACAGAGGAAACCTCTGGCTGACGCGTATTCGATCAACGCCAAGTGGCAGAAAACGTATTGCTCAGGCGTTTGGATGGAATAGGCCCGCTGCGACCGGATCTTTTCCACCACACCTTTAATGTCCACGGTGCTGGTTTCCTCCAGGCGGTTGATGCAAACGTCCAGTGTGCAGAACGTTCCTGCGGGACAAACGGGAWAGTTGAAAAATCGCGGCGTACAACAAAGATAGGTATARGTATAGGTGTTGTATTTATAGGCAAGGAAGTTGCAGGTATATTATGCGAACGTGTATACAAAGAAAGTCGACGACAATCTTACTCCCAATCAGTTTTTTGCTCACCTGTTCGTCCGATGCCCGCCGAACAGTGGACGATTATCGGAGGCCCCCGTTGGTGTCCGGCCCATTTGTCACCGAGGTCTTGTAACATGGACGATTGACATTTCCGGACCTTGCCGAGGAAATCCAACATGGCGACAGCGCTGTGTGGCACGCCGAAATCCGGCCACGAGTTGAAACGGAAATGAGACACTTGTCTGACCTCGTTGGTCTGAGAAAAATRAAATAAAATAAAAAATGAACGGATTTGGCTAAATAATATATTATATTTTGCGGTCGAAAAAATACCTTCGATGTTGTAATATCACATTTTTGTAAAATCCATTTTACGATTTACAATGATGTAACAATAAATAACCAATAATACATACACAACAGCAATTTTACATTCTATAATATACAATACCTACGTGGTGTTATTACAAAAAAAAAAAAGTATTAACGAATATTTGTTTTTAATTATGTCAGTAAATATAATATATATTATAACTTTATGGACAAACAATCTATTTGATTTCCTAAAGGAACTGTAAATTCAGCTAAATCTAATAGCATTAAAAATAATCATGGTAAAAACTCAGTAATACGAAACCTCTGTTAAACGGAAATCCCAATAATACAAGGTGGGGCAGCGAAAAGGGAAATTACTCTGTATTACAGTTACGTACGAAAATCGCCCTTTTCGCTACCGCACCCTGAACGTACAATTTTTTTGGTGGCAAATCAAATATAAAGTGAATATCGACCACCTCAAGACGGTTCCACWAGAGATTCCGTCTTGACGAAATTTTACATTAATATTGTTGATCTAAACCATTTTGCTTAATATTGTATTTCCTATATTTCATCAAAATAACTCTATGACAATATTCATGTGGTATAGTTTTTTAAAACATCTCTGTGATTTTGCTTTTAAATTACAATAATACAATTAAACTCTTCTGAATTTACTGAAGGTGCACATAAATGTCAAGAACTCGTGACTGAACATAAACATATCATGAACCAATATAGCATAATTTATATTTTCAATCATGAATTTGATCTATAAATATATTTTACAATTGATTTATTGCTTTAACGTTAAAATAATAAATAAGAAAAGTTAATTATCTGACAATCATGGATAACAGAGAGATAACGAAGTTATTTTWAAAAAATTTAAGACTCGTAAGAACCATTTTTTAAGCCTTACCCGAGATATTTGATTAAATCCAATATTTCATAGTCAAATAGTAACTATAATTATTTTATTTATTTTATTTGATTATTTATAAATAAATATCGATAAATATTATTACGATAATATGCTCGAACATTTGATATGATTGCTATATATTATGTATAGTGCTATATATTGCTCACGAAATAAAATCTACACCTTAAATTTAACAATAACTTGAACTTCAAAATATTATAAACGGTCTCCCAGAGCATTACCAGRAAGGAAACTAAAACCTAACCTAACATCGTATACTCACGTTGGTGTTAGTTAATTCCAATCGGGTGACAGCGTAGTTGTCAAACTGACTGAGGGACGTAGTAGACACCTTGAAGTTTTGGTACGTATGATCATCGGACGTCTCGTCAGGTGGCCAGTACTGTTCGCACTTAATCTTGCCACACTCAAATACCTTGGTGGTCATGACGATGACTAGCACTTGCTGTTCCCAAACCATCCGCCAGAAGTCAGCGCACGTGTGCGGCAGCGGGCCCTGCGTGGATATGAACGCGTTCTTCTGTTTRTAACCATCGACGAAATTGGCGTGTATGTAGTCGGACATYGGTTCTTTGTCCGACTCCGCCAACATCACCCTGGTGTGATCGTAGCAAAGCACATCCGTATATCGATTCTTCAGAAGGTTGGGTCGGGCCCTGCAGCAGAGTACGACAACAAGACAGAGGGTCAGATGGCGGTATGATGGTACATATATATATATATATATATATATACATCCACATATGCAGGGCGTATCCGGAGGGTGAAGACCGCCAAATAGACGGTGCTCCGGACAACGCCCTGTGTAAAACATATAGCAATTTAATCGTAACGCGGATACTTAGGGTACCACGAAAAATATATAACACAAAAATACTAAACAATATTGATCATACTTGGCAACAGAGAATGTACCGTCGAAAGAACGGGTCTTTATCTCTTCGTATTCCCTAATGAGACCGGCCCTCTTCTTTTTCAATACATATTCAACAAATTGACTAATAGTTAAACTTTGACTAGAATCGCAACGCAAACTGTCGTCGTCCGAAAACCCGCTACTGACCGACGACGGAGGCATCGGAGAAATCTCTTCTGTAGGCATGCAAAATGAAAAAAATTAATAGACATTTAACGAATCGGTAACATAACCCGCAAAAGAGTATGGGTTATAAAGAGTATAGGGTTTGCTTATGAAAATAATAGAGTATTATAGGGTTTGCTTATGAAAATAATAGAATATGGTGCTTTCGATATTGCTGAACCTACCTCTCGAATTTGTCGTGTTGCATGTCCAACCTGACAACAAATTGTCATGGACGACGGCGCTTTCTTCGWTGACGACGTTGTTCTCTTTCAACAGATTATTCGCCTGAAAAATATATGACGAATTAAAAAAAGTGATAAACGMCATGCAAACAATCGTCGGCAAATAGGTAGGGTAATCAATCCATGTATACTTAAGTCTTAAAGGAAACATACTTTGGTCTCTGACCCGGTGTCCTTTTTCACGCTGTTTGAATTGCATATGTGGTCGGACATAGCCGARCTTCCATATTTATCACTGTTCGTCATGTAGTTCAGGCAGTAGGACAACCATTTATCGTGTTCGACGTCCACCGTGCCGCCCAAATGCCTTGGCAGCGATTCCCTGGGTATGTGCTGGGTCAACTGTGACAGACCATAAACGAATCGACAAGGAATAAATATGAATGCCAACTATAAGAGGTTGATATACTGATATAATTGAGTCACGCGTACCTGAGGCAAGCTAATAGTGAACACACGATCCCTCAATTTTTCTCGCACAAAAAGCCTGAGTATTTTAAACGGGGCTTTGAACCACAGTGGCGCTGTGACAATCAGAACTTTCTTCAATTTGGCCGGATAACCACCCTGCAAATCAGACAAGTGAATTAAAACACAAAAATAACCTTAGACAATATATGAAATTATATTATGAATTCATGATGGTAAACAGCAGCATCTGAACATATGATATATTGGAATACATTTTATACATAGGTACGTCACATTTACTTAAATTAAACGTCGGAAAGTCGTGTAGATCGTTATTATCATCATATAATAGCATTCCTAAAGTTATCACTGCGCTAATACGACAATGGTGACTTTAAAATATATGTCATTAAATAATAATTAGGCTTCTATAATATTTATTATACACCGAGAACACATCGACTGCTAAATAAAATATCATCAAGTAATAATAAATCTCCACTCGATGACCGTACATATTATAATCGGCTCAATAAACTGTAGCTCTCAGAGAGTCGTATTTAAAGATTTTAAATCTTACAGTCGATAGATATTACGGGACGTTATGTGTATTACAAAAATCCGGAGAGTTATCGAATTATAAATAGGTCAGGGCGCGATCAAAGTAGGTCGTCGTGCACAACTTAAGAGGACGTCATCCCCGCATGTGTTGTCTCAGTCTTACACGTCATTTAAAAATGTTTTGTTCAAAAACACCATAACTTACCTACTTAAAATTAATAATATTAATAAAAGCTAACGAGGGGTTCTAAATAATAATCTTACCTTTAAATTGTATAATGGATCAATTCACTTTAATATCAAAACTAACGTACACTATTGAAACTGGTGAACAAAATTGTGTTATGCTGTATACGTCATGACGTGAGTAAGACGAGTAATGCGGGTGCGACGTCCTCTTAAAAAGCATTATTCGAAACCAACGTTATGTTTATATAACATACTAAGAAGTTCATAACTAGAAAATATTGCAAGTTGTCTTCAATCAAACGAACGTGTGATAGTTGTGTTAATTATTCAAGACGAGGCGAGAAAAAACCGTCAACAGCGCGTCGTAGAGAGAAAATATAAAATAGTGACAGTAATTTACAACGTGGCGTTGAAAAAAATAAAAGGTTGCGGGCTCTAAATTTAAACAACGGTACCACAGCGTTTAATATAGAGCGGCACTTGACTGAGCTATAACGGATTACTTATACCGCGCGAGCTTCGACGGACGTGCGCCAATTATAATATCTGTATAATAATTCACGTTCCGGTCAGGATTCGGACGTTTCCGAGGAGCCCAATTAGGGAGGGGGCAGAGAAGCTTGAATTCAAAAACAGCTATATTCGCGGAAAGATGCCCCCGACCTAAAACTATTTTGATCCCGTTTTTTTGTCGATTGCATGATAAAAATATACAAAGTCAAAAACATAATATAATATACTCGCTCGTTTTTAATCGCTACTTATCGTTTAATTATCAATTTAAGATAGGGACTACTGAATGTAATCTGAAACGCGATTCGTGTTTTTTGTCATTATGTTTTCTTTTTTTTTTTACACGCATATCGGACGACAATTTTTGATTCTAACGTGTGTATGGTGGAGGAGTGGGTAACGCAATAATCTCAAGCAATCAAAAACACATTAGACAATCGTGATAATCGTAAACATAAAGTAATATTATTATATATRCGTTATAACTTATAAGTGTTATAACTTATAATAAACGATCGGCTATAGTGAGTCATGGAGAAATAAATGTCAATATACATAAACGCGCGCTATTATTGTTATTAAAAAAAAAAGTATATTATATTTTTAATAGCGATTAAAATTTAAAACTGTACGATAATATATTATTATTATTGAGTGTATGATTATATTAAACAGGAGTGTCAATAATGATTAACGTTCATACATATACGAAGTGCGATAAACCGAGTTAAGTGGTTCCAGTCTTCGGTGTAACCAATGCATAATTCGAGCGGTTTATCACGACATATTCCAAAATATATTTCCTATATATATATTAAATACAGACCAAAAGTGTACAGATGATAAATATTATACTTTAGGGTATTTATTACGAACATAAACATTTTTATATGTATACACTTGTAGGGTTTTCGAGGATATCATCTGTTTATCGTTCGATGTAAGTATATTATGCACAAAATACGAATGTCTTTAGTATGAGATTTTTTTTCTTTATTTTATCGAGATTTTAATTCGAAGTAATAAATGTTATATTCTCATACGTATAGTAGAATGTATGAATATCCGTCCAATAGTCAGATTTCATACACACACACACACACACACACACACACATATATATATATATATATATAGTACAAGGTCACAGCAAACACACGTTTCAGATCAATAGTCGAGTTGCCAATTTATTACGGAAAATTACTGTAAGTAATAAATAGGTGGTGCATCGTTTTAACAGTATTTATATGGACATGTATGGTGCTATACGCATTTGTTATATAAAACATAAATTGTACATTTTGTATTTTTTACAAATCTATGAATAAGACAAATAATGTTTTAAAAAAATGACTGTAAAATAAAATTTATTACTGTTTTCTACACAACAATATTATTTAGAATTTTAATTTTAAGTGCTTAACACTGCACTACATTGTATACCTAMTATAGTGGAAACTCTTGATGTTTTAATCTTATATTTTGAACATGCAACACGCGAAACTATTACGTTCAAAACAATAAATTTAAAAAAAACTAACGTAATATGATATACATTTTTTTTTTAATAATCGCTGAAAAGTTAATTGAAAATACAATGTTGAACACTAAATAACTACAAACAAAATCGGCAGTGAAATATAATATTATAATTTTTAAAAACCAAATAACTGGGAACATAAATTAATTGCTAAACATTTTAAAAATGAATAAAAAAAAAAAAGACTAGTTACTATAATCTCCCCGAATTGGCCATGAGACACAAGTATAGAATTTTATGAGTTATAACATAAGTAATCAAATTAACTTTATGATTCGTCTGCAATGACGATTAAATAATAACAGTCATTAGTAATATATTACAATAGATAATGATTATCGGAATGTCGAACGTGATGCATTATTGATATTTGATATCAGCTATACTATTATATATTATAATTTATACGAACAGCAATAAACTAAAATGGAGCAAAAACTTTCAAAATGCACATAGATATACGCATACAAAGCGTTTACTTTTATATATATATGTATCAAACGTAGCTCTACACTGCAGCGCACACATTACACACAACGACTAAAACAATATTGTATTGTTATAACATTCAATTTTTAATGATAAATGTAGGTATGTGTCTAATAGCAGAATACGGAATCGATTCTACACGACCGAAATAATGATATAACTATATAAGAATCTATTCGTGTTCAGGAAAAAAATCGATATGAAAATTATCTCAATACATAACGTACAGTGTACGAACATCAGTGTATCACGGAGTATTACACTGAAAATTGACTTATTATTCAAATGTCATTTCTATGTAAAACTGTCAGATGTTCTAGATACATGCCCTGAAGAGTAGTTGTTCTAATGAGAAAACAGTGTCCTATATTTAATAAATGTGTAATATTTTAACGCATTTTACCGATAAACTCGTACGTAACCAGGATAAAATAAATTGTAGTAGGTTTTACAAAACCAAATACCAATATTTAATGTAATATTAAAATAGAGCTAAGCCCTCCTGAAACGGTAAATATATACATATTAGTTAGGTGCTTTTATATAATACGTAACGTATCGTTATATTAGGCCGAATATAATATGTCGGGACACGGGAAGTCAAAATCATGTATAATGTACGTCACATATTATATAAAATGGTGCGGTATAGGTAGTTATATGTATTTATTTATACAATATGCGCTAAGTAAGAGACATATGGATACAATCAGTGCACGGTGCACGGGTCAATAGTAATAACAAAGTTAGTGAAATACGCARTGCGTATTTTTGGATCCCGTAAATCATCTAGATTCTATTCAAATAAATTCGAGAAGAATTAAGACAATTTCTATTCAAATAACAATACATAATAACCACAATAAAACATTTATTTAAATTCAACTCTATATTGRTTTTCTAACCAAAATAAAATATTATATAATTTAACAATAACCATATTATTTATGAACTAGTCTTATAGGTATACTTATAAAAGGCTATAAGGGTTTATAACAACAATAACTGTTAAACGTAATTGCTCCAGTAAGTAGGTTTTATAATAATTGTTTTGTTCTAATCAATATCTTTAAATGTTGGTTTTTTTTTTAAATACTATTAGGTATGTGGATCAATGTTCATATTAAGGTAGTTAATCAAATTTGTCCCTACATTCAGATATACCTGCTTAGTCGGTGATACATATTACACGAGATGATGAAAATGAACAGGTGTCGTTTGATTARAATGGGATCATGAAATTAACTTCAACAATCTTGCCAGAGATATATTAACAGAATACGGTTTGTACTTTGTACGTGTAACAAAAATTGATTGACTATAATAGTAGGATATGATATAACATCATATATATATCAAATATAAATGTATAGGTCATATATACCTAATAAATAAAGATATATATATATATATATATATATGTTTATAGGTATATATGATATGGGTAATAAAGGTTTTCGTTATAGTCGACAAAATATATTAGCCACGCGAAAAGAGAACAATGCAGACAGAATATTATACTTCACGTTCCATTTCAAAATCGGCCTAGTGAAAATATGTTCGAATAATTGGTCTYCTCTTAGATTTAGAAATACTTGCACGCCAGGATCAAAAACCACAAGGGACATCTCTACAACAATTAATTAGGCATATTATGAATGACGTCGAAGACGGGTTGCTGATATTTCAGAATATAAATAGTATTATCGTAATGTAAAGATGATACTAAAGCATGATACATACGTAAATGAGAAAAAACGAAAAATATAATAGTTTTCTTCACCAAAACGACTTTTGGCATAAACAACAAAAACGTATTTATCCACGATAACCATAATATAATAATTTCGTCTTGTGATTAGACTGTATATTACACGCCATCTCGTTGTTTTCACGTCGAATTGTATTATTGCTTATACATTTATACCACGTCGTCCAAGGTTGTGTTTAAGTCCCGCGAGCGCGTGATTCGGTCCAAGAGACGAAAAACGAATTTTCTCTTCGACAGAACAGTCGTCATAATATCGTGTAAATAGCTATGGTTATTATACCTTACTACTCTAAACCATAACTCGCACAAACAAAAAAATACACACACACGCGAGTAATAATAGTAAAATCACGATATGTAACGGTCGGTGATCATCGGCTCAAGGCTAAACGGGAAAACGGCATCACGAGCGAGCCGAGCCAAAAACAAAAACAAAAAAATACGCATGAGAAACGCGACGAAAATTCTACGCTGGTGAGCCGCGTGATCTGCACGCAAAGATTTACAACCGCAAAAATTTCGATAAAATTCATTAGACATAAATCATAACAATGACATAATCATATTAAATAAAAAAATTTAGTACCTATACAGTATCAAAAAACCATATCGTACCGGATCGATATCGTCCGCCGCCGTTGCCGCTATCCGGGATACGAAACGATAATATCACACACGCGCGCACGCACACAAACACACACCGGTACACGCACTAAAACAACACTAGAGTCGTCCCCGTCGGCCGTCGCTCTTTTTCGGACGCGTAAACGAATATAATGGGATTAAAATATTTACAATGATATTATATTATTTTATATTAATATCCGAATCAAGAAACCAATCTGCCCCGTCTGTTGTATTAAAATGATAATATTGTATTCCGTCGAGATTTGATCGCGGACACCGTCGCAACGCGTCACGGTCCGCCGGCGTGGACCGGGGGACTCGACCGAAACGGTGGACTCTGA